TAACTTTTTGTTTTCCAGATGTTTGACTGCACGGATGGCGTAATGGTTTAAGCGGTCGCGGTGTTGTGGGTCCGATCCCCACATGGGATGACACTTTGTGTGATTCACAAATTGTTGTTCTGAGTCTGGGTGATCTTTGGGTCCGTTTCATGTATGTTTGTAAAGTCCCACGCGTCACAGGATTTATTCCTAGTGCGGGAGTTGTCTTTTAAAAAAAAAAGAAAAAAGAAATTTTGATCGCTGATTCGCTCTTCGGTACCTATCATAAATAAAAGACGCGAAATATATATGACGTCACAATTACCTGTTTCTGCTGAAATATAAAAGCGCACGAGGTTCTTAACGCTATAATCGGCAGCGGACTCTTTTATGAAAATTCAAAGTATTATTTGTGGCCAACATTTGTGCGTATTTAGCCCAACTTGCGATGAGAATTTCTAACAAAAAATGTAACAATGATGTACCTATTATTAATTTTCTTTAGAAAAGAGTTTAATATCATAAATTAGTCTTTCTATCTTCTACTCTTATTAAATATCTCTAAATGTATTATATGTTTTTCATTGTTGCACAGATCAATTTTACAGTTCGAAATTAATTAATTAATTAAATCTCGACATTGTTGGTGAAAAAGTTAAAATATATAATAGATATAAATATTTGTAAGTTTGTAGGTTTACTTAAGTACAACTTTGAAATCACTCTTTATTTTATTATTTAACTTTCTATTCGATTACAAATAGACAGAATATCTCATCAGCCTATTACCGTCCACTGCTGAACGAAGCCTCTCCAAAGGAGCGCCAACAAAAATATTTCAAGTTTAAATTTAGTCATACGATTTGTAATTGAAAACTTACATATACCACATTAAAGTTTGTAGAACAGAAAAAATATAGATACCTATAGGGTAACCTATTTTTACAGGTCTTTTTATTAGCTTAACCTGTTTCTACCTGTCATAATCTTTCAACCGACTTTAACAGGGGAGACATCAGGTTAACTTAAAAATTGACAACTTATTAAGAACCGATGACTATTCAAGACTAAAAACACAAGATCGTTGTGATAGGTAGTTATGAAAACTAAAAATACAGGTTAATAGCACACCGAACTAAAATTATTGTCGATGGTGAGTAAAAGCGTGGGATTGTAAATAATTCATTTTAGATATTTATAAAAGGCATCTCACGCTTTTTCAATAAGAAATAAATGTTTACTCGTAAGTATTTAGTTTTGCTATTCGAACATGGTTTTTAGTTCTCAAAAAGTATTTTAGTCTTTTGTTTTCTATTTCTTTGAGTTTGAAATCTACGAGCCTGTTGGTCTAGTGGCTAGTGAACCTAACTGCTAAGGAGGAGGTCGTGGGTTCGATTCCCTTCCAGGACAAATATTGTGTGATAAGCATAACGGTTTATTCTGTCTGTGTAAAGATGTATGTATGTTTATTTATAATATGTATATGTATGTATGTGTTTAGAAATATGTAAGTATGTTTATTAGCAGTCTGGTCACATAGTACAGGCACTGCTTAGTTTAGGATCAGACAGCCGTGTGTGAGACGAGTAAAAAAAAGTAGTCAGCTATTCTTCTTTATACAAATCTATCTACTTGTTTCCTAATTTTTCAAACGATAAAATTTTGGTTTTCGACGAAGATAGAACGAAAATTGGGATGTGAAATTAGGATGTGAATATTACTTTTTTTTTAAAGACCTCCCCCATTAGGAAAATATCTTGTGTCGCGGTGGACTTTACAAACATACATGAAACGGACACAAAGAACACCCAGACTCAGAACAACAATTTGTGGATCACACAAAGTGTCGTCCCATGTTTGGATCGAATCCACAACACACAGCGTGGTAGTAGTCAGTTTCTGAAACATCTTTTCACAGAAGACATTTTTTTATATAACAGACAACTCCCGCTGTAGAACTATGTCTTGTGTCACGGGGACTTTACAAACAAGCATGGAATTGACACAAAGAACACCCAGACTCAGAACAACAATTTGTGGATCACACAAAGTGTTGTCCCATGTGATAGAACCAACACTCTGTTGCAGTAGGAAATGGCGAGGCGACCACTTAAACGTTCTAAGTGGAAATTAAGCTTTCTCACTGGAATCTTTTTATGTCTGTTTCTTATTTTAAGTTTTACTTCACTTCTTTCTTTTATGCCATCTTTTTCTTTATCTTGTTTTCTCTTCATTGCCTTTTTTACCTTTTAGTTCTTAACAACTAACATACCGCCACACATTAAAACAATGTTATGGTATATTTAATGATGCCATTGTATCTATCTGTTATTTTTTTATGAAATAAAGATATTTTAAGTTTGAGTTTGAAACCACTACGCCATCCGTGCAATCTCTTTTCCTGCTGATAAGTAAAAATCGCTAAATTGAGTAGTTACACATTCGCTAAGAAGAATTCCCATTTGCATTCCACAACTTCATTTAAGGTTAGGTAACATTTTTTTGGTTCCGATACCGCCTTGGTAGGAAATATCATCCTCTAAAGGACCAGAAACTAATAATATTTATAAATATATGTACCTAGTTATTGACGGTAAAAGGTTTAGCCGCTGTTATTTAAGTGAAACTAAAATTAATTGTAGTCAGAAAATGTGAGCGTATAATATGCCTCTGTATAGCCCTTCAGGGGTAAAGCCGTGAATGTATGTGTGTACGTACCCAAATGTCTAAAATTTTAGAAATGTAAGGCAGTATCTAAAATAAAACACAGAGAAATGGATTTTATATGCATATAATCGAATTCAATATTTCAATAGCTATCAGTTAATAATTAATACAACTTAAATTAAAAAAAATACACTGACTCTTCATAGAATGGTACAATTAATGTACTTAACTAACTTAACTATGTTCAAGCTTAATATTTACTATAAATTACAAATTTCATTACATTTATATACTACGAAGATGTGGGTGAATTTTTTTTCAAGCGCTGGTATCACTCAACCATCGATAAATGAATACAATTACGCGATTACGTAATAGTCAACCTGCGACCACGGCTAGTTCAATCTGGTAGAAACTTAAAGCAAACCAAAGGTATAAAAACCTATTAAACGATCCCAAAGTAGACACAACATGGTACGCTTAAATTAGTAAATAAATTAAATTTGTAACGAAGTGTTACTATAAAAAAACTACCAAATTAGTAGGAATATAAAAGTATGATGTTCTGAGGTAATGTAAAGTTTTTGCATTGCAATTGATTCTTTTATAAGGAATCGTCCCTATATTGCACACTTCGATGTTTAAGTAATACCCTCCCCCCCGTTCCCACTACTAATTAATACATTAGTGGGAAGATTATTGCGCCATAATTTCCAATTTCATTTTTAAATAATATAAATTAACTAATAATCTCATTAAATTATTTTTGCGTTAATTTATTAGGGCGGGCAAAGCTCAAGTTCCAACCAATAAAAGTTTTATTTTAAACCGCCATTTCAAGTAACTTTCAGGGACCGTACTCTGTTATGTCGCCAATATTTTTTGCTTTAGAAAACACTAATCAGGTTTAAAACACATATAAAAGTATAATGAAATTTTTTTCACTGGCAAACCTCATTTCAAAATTCTACTTTTGAAATGTATCAGAATCCCAACTGGCAATACTTAATCCATTTTATTTGTTTACTCGTAAAATTAATCGTATAAAGTATGGCAACGTTGTCACTCGACTAAAACTGTACTATCGCTTAGAACTAGACAATAATAACCCACATATACATTCGGAGCACACACATATACAAAATAAAACTCTTAACATACAATTTATTTACAATAGAAACTATACATCGTTACTTATAGTAAAACATAAGTTTTATTTTAAGATTTTATAAACAGTAATATCTAAATAATATGAACATTTTGACAAGAAAACAATTAGTACAAGTACATTTTGTTATCTGCAAAGGCCTGACATATCAATTCGGTTTTATAATCTGTGATATGCCACGTTTGGCATAAAAATAGCAGTTTGTTGTCTATGTTCATTAAAATAAACAACTTTATGTTTAAGTATAAGTAACGAGAGTTTTTTTTGTTAATTTAGTGAACTTTGTCACTAAACGTAGCCTAAACTTTACTCGTTTTAAATATAACATGATATGATTCAGGGAGTTTTTACACAGGCGCAAGAAGCAAATATTAAAACAATCTCTATACACACATCAATAAAAAAATGTTTTAGGTTACAACAACTTACTTCAAAATATTTCCTGCGATGATTAATACTCATGACTTTGTAATAGAGAAAAAATGTTTTTTGCCGCCAAAATATAATAAATGTTACAATCTCTAAAAAAATCATATCTTTCGATACACTCTTAGGCCTCTTCACAATTTAGTATTCGTTGAAAATCGTTACGATAGCGTTGGTTGACAAACAATTTTTGTAAATTGCACTTTGAACAAGACTTGATCACAGAATTTATGGAAGATTTGACGACACCATGAACGCCAAACGATGTTTTTTTTTTCATTTTACAAAAATAGTTTTTTATATGTGATTAATAATGAAATCAGTTCTTGTCCAGAAGGTGAGTTTACAAAAATTACTAATGCTTTCTACACCTTGAAATAAACACGAACGGATTTAGGAGAATTTGTATGTTTTGTTGAAATAAGTAGTTGTGGCAATGTTTTCTTTTGATATGTACTTACATCGCATTTTATTACATTTCAAACTTCACTATGTTTAACAGCAATTTTTCTAAAACAAGTTCATGTAGTGAAATATGAAATTAAAAAAGTACGAGACCGTTTGAAAATTTAATAAATAAATAGTTGTTAAAGTGAAATGAACATATATTAAATAAATATAACTTCTACATAAAACCTTCAAACCAAAGTTGCCAGTTATTTACGAAAAAAAGAGTATCAAAAACTTACAAATTCTACCAAAAGCCGTTGTCACACTATACAAAACATATGTACAACTACAAAGTAAGGGACTAGATATACTAAACCATATTGATTCCGTATTTTTCCGGAGCAAAATAACTGTTACCGGAGTTGGAAAAGTTCGTTATTTGTGATGCTTGGAGCATGCTCAAGTGTGGGGTATTTTGCGATTGATTCTCTGGGGATTCGGGTCCCGTTGAGAGTATGTTGTGATGGGACGCCCACGCCCCTGGAGAGGATGGGTTGCCGAAGGATACTTGGTTGTAGAGCTGGTTGCCGTTGGCCGTCAAGTTGTGGCTGTGATGGCTGCCATGAGTTTGATTCACGGAAGAGCCATTGAAGTATTCCATCTGAAAGAAATAGTTTATTAATATTCGGTTTATATTATTATTTATTGATCAACTGAATATTATCGACTGATCTTGACTGCTAAGTCAGAAGTGGTGGATTTGATCAACTTTATTATTCAAGACAAATAATTGTGTGATGAGCAAGCTCATTTGTTCTGTATCTGAGTGTCCACTGCTGGATATAGGCCTCTCCTTAGAAAGCAGGTTTTGGCCTATTACTCGTATACGACGCTGGCCAGACGGGTTGGTACAGGGTTTGTGTCAAGTTTTCCTTATCTCTGCAGTGCTGTTGTCCTGCGTAGTTTGCCCCCTTAGTCGGCTCTTACGACACCCACGGGATGAATAGGGGTGGTGACATTCCGTATTCTTAATCCGTCACCACACGGACTAGTCAGGATCAATCAAATCATATTTCGACTGCGATACTTCAAATGGCCATATGCACATAAATTATTTATTTTATTACATTAAATACAGCATTTTGCAAAGTTGATGAGTCGTATGTATCCGAGAGCTTAGTACACACTGGCATTTTATTAGAAAATTATATTAGTAATAACAATTTGAGTGTTTTTAAAGAATACTCGTAACGTTTCTGTGAGTCTGCCAGTGATTTCATAGCTCCTATTCGGATGGATTTCTTTTAAAAACCTACTAATACTGAACTAAGTAAAAATGCTAGTTAGGTACATTATTATTTTCTAAGCTAAACCAATAAAAAATAGTTTAAAATCTCACCTGACTAGGATAATATGGGGAATTATAGGCGCTCTGACCATAACCCTGATGATGATGAGACGTCGAGTAGTTCCTGATGTAGTCCGTAGACCCCGGCCAGTGGAAACTGTTGTAACTGTCCGGATGGTAAACGTTCCCTGGTCCATTTAAACTTTGAGGAGTTATAGGAGGAGAGGGAGTTGTCATTATAGAGGAATTGGACCCTAAGGGAGTCAGATTACCCGTCAGTCGCGAACTGTACTGGTCTTTCACCAGATTGCTACCAAATTTCTCCGTGTAATCCAATTTGCTCGAATAATCCAGCCGTTTTGGACTGCTATATAACTCTTGCTTCGGAGTGACTCCGTAACTGTGAATGTTAGATACAGGTTCTGAGGGAGAAGATTCCTTTCCACTTAGTCTGAGTTCGTTGGAGTTGTAATGAGAAAGTGATGTAAGACTGTTATTCTTATTGTGGGGGGAAGTTTCGTAGTTCGATGTGGCTGACTCTTTCTTGCAAATGACGTTGATTGGTGGACTCACTGACGTTGTGGGAGTGATTGGGAGATTAGGGGAGGAGGTAGTGACGCTGGAGTTTTGGGTTGTAGGAACATTTGATGAGCTGGTTATTGATTTCGAAGTGTTAATCTTTGAGGAACTGGATGAGGTTTTGATGCTGGTACTGGAGACGGACGTTTTGGAACTAGATGATGATTTACTGGAGATCTGTGTGTTGGTTTGTTGTTGTAATTGCTGTCGGCATTTAGCTCTTCTGTTTTTGAACCAGACCTGTTGACAAAAGAACATATGTTAGGTTGTTATTACACAATACAATAATAGTCTTTGTTGATATTTTTAAATATTCACGTGATAATGTGTTACGTGTATATATTTATACTATCCTAAACTATTAAGTCTTAAGGTTGTCTGGAAGAGATCGCCGAGAGCGATAAGACTATCTACTTATTTGTAACTCATCTTTCGTTATTTTTTTAGTGTATACAATAATTCACACCTAACACAGGACATATTCCCATTGCGGGAGCATTAGGAATATATCCTGTGTCGCGGGAGACTTTACAAACATACATGAAACGGACACAAAGAACACCCAGACTCAGAACAACAATTTGTGGATCACACAAAGTGTCGTCCCATGTGGGGACCGGACCCACAACACTCAGTGTAGTAGTAAGCGTCGTGGCGACTGCTTAAACCACTACGCCATCTGTGCAGTGGAAATATCCAAACTACGCAGGACAACAGCACTGCAAAAAGAAGGAAAACTTGACACAAACCCTATACCAACCCGTCTGGCCAATGTGGTATGGTAGGCCAAAACCTTCTTTTGTAGAAAGACCTATGACCAGTAGTGGACTATTAAATGCTGATGATGTGATGGGAGTTAAGAAACTAAATTCGTACTACATACGTCTACCTTTACACGAAGACGAAAGAAGCTGAGGGCAATTAGATCCATTTTTTCCTTCTTACCTTTTTTCTTCGATATTGAAAAATAAATAAAAAAGAGAAAGACCAATCAGAGGTCGGTAGCTAATCTTAAAAAAAAACATATTCGAATATAAAAAAAACCACTCGCAGAGTCCTACCACATGTTAACAAACTCACGTACGCGGGTAATAAATCAATTATAATCTGTTCAGCAAACTGTTGGCGAGAACGCGAGAAGCAATTTGCAAGGCGCGACTACAGCCTCATATAGGGGTGGTTATGTTGTATATTTGCACAATATATTTAATAATTACGTGTATTACTTACACCAATGCATAAAGGGTAGTTCGAACGGGCCTGTTGGTCTAGTGGGTTGCGAACCTGACTGCTAAGACAGAGGTCGATTCGACTCCCATCCAGAACAAATATTGTGTCATTTGTTCTGTCTGAGTGTGATTTATTTATAACATGTATGTATTTGGAAATATCCAAGTATATTTATGTAATAGTATATGTGTGTATCTGTTAATGGCAAGACTTGCTTCTTATTAAGTAGGTAATTGGGACTTGGCACTACAATCGTCAAAATGTTAGAGTTTTAATCACATCACATCACATCAACAGCCTTTAATAGTCCACTGCAGGACATAGGCCTCTTCTTAGAAAGGAGGTTTTGGCCTACTATACCACGCTGGCAAGTCGGGTTGGTGTAGGGTTTGTGTCAAGTTTTCCTTCTTTTTTATTTGTTTTAAGTTTTAATTTTAATAAAAAATTAAAAACTGTGTGTCTTAAATGTTTATGTCAAGATGGGTTTCACATCGATAATGTAACTAGGTACGTTTTAAATATTCGCAAGGCCCTTTTCCTTTGCTATCACTATTACTAATCTTCATAGTTACATCTATAGGTATACAATCTAAGTCACAATTTATCCTACTCGTAATCATGACTATTTAAAGCGACGGTAACCTGCGGCTCTGATAGCAAACAGCCAACTCACCAAAGACGACATCAGTGAGCTGACGTGCTCGGCCTTGCCTACCGGGGATTACCACCCCTGTATTGTGCTATACAACCCCTAATAATGAGTTAATAGTATCCCTTTTTGTTGTAACATAGAAGCAGATGTGGTGAAGATGAATTTATTTGTTACAACTGCACTTAGTGGAGTCATAGAAACAGTTTCGTTAATTTATTACATATTTTATTAAACGTGGTCAGGCTTGGAAAGCGTACAATTTTTTTTTTCGCAAGACTCATAAAAAGAAATACCTAAATGAGAAGTTTCTGTCAACATGACCCATCTTTTTATACCATATTTTACACAATCCTTTCTTTTTTTGGGTCTTATGCTTTTTAACTGTTAACTCAAAATATTCTTTAACATCTTTTCAGAATAAAACATGACCTAAGTATATAAGCTGTGTTTTAACATTTTCTACCAAAATAATTCAATGAAAAAAATATTTAAATTGATTAAAAAAGGGACTTAAGCTTTTTTAGTTTATTATTAAGTATTCTATCAGTCAATCTAGCCTTCATAGTACAAGCTCTGCTTTGTTTGAAACTAGATGGCGTTGTGTGTTAGATGTCCGAAATATTATTATACGCCTATAAACAAACTTAAAAGAAATATCTGCACGTTAGCACGATCTTTTATTATAATTGTGTTTGTCTTCATTAAGGACAGATAGATACCGATGGGGCATACTGATAAGAGGGTTAAGTACCCTTGCTGTCCTTTATCTATCTCGATTAACTGTCAACGGGCCCCTCATCATTATATTAAATGATGCTGTTATCTCTTCCGAGATGAAAATATGCTAATTTATGTGTGGAAGTCTGTGAGGGATTGACATACGTTTTTGTAGCTGTAATATAATTATTGACGTATAATTTAACTAGCTTTTGCCTAGTCTATGTCCTTTCTCGAAAATCAAACTATTGTCATACCAAATTTCATCTGAATCAATTCAGCAGTTATTGATTCCCCATACAAACTTTCACCCCCCTTTTGATCCCCTTAAAGGATGATTTCTGGAATAAAAACCCATTTCATCAAAATCGGTTCAGTGGTTTAAGCGTGAAGAGGTAACAGACATACAGACACACTTTATAATATTAGTATGGATTTGTCCGTTTTTTCAGGATTTTTAAGATATATTATTGATAAATGCCAAAAAACGGTTCACCTATGTCAGATAATATAGATATAGGCTTTGTAATACTTACTAATATAATAATTAGAACTGAAGAGTTCTTGTTTGTTTATTAGTTTCAACGTAATAATATAATATGGAACTACGAGTATCAGTCAAATTTGCATTATTCTTTTAATATTGAATAGAGAATTTTTTAAAAGTCCAACAACAGTCTTTCCACAGAACTTCAATATCGTCTACTTGGGTCGTGGAGGTCTGATGGTAGTCTGAATTTCAGTCGTGTTCCTAGTAGACTTAAAGCGGACCTAACCTAGATTGGGAAAAAAGCTCCAAGGACGTACCATTATCATGACATTTGTCAAATACCTCGTCAAAGGAACAGAAAAGGACAGAGTAATTAGAATCTTTTTTTTTATGATTAGGTTGGCAAACGAGCAGGTTGAAGGCGGGTTACCTGATGGCAAGGCGGCGGCCATCCATCCGTTCGGAGGTCCAGGAGAAAAGTAGTAACAATCGCAAGTAAAACAAGTAAAACGCCTTGTAGCAAATAATTTCAATGAAGAATGTTTCTTCCGAACCTCATACACTGATTGGTGCATTGGTAAAAAGTTGTAGCAACAGTTCATTTGAAACTAAACAGGCCATAGCACACGCATAAGCCATTAGGCGAAGTCTCTTCCCATGCTGAAAGGTCTTGAAGATACAAAGTACAACTAAACTCAGAATAACTTTTGAATAATACGTTATGTGTGGCTAATGACTATTAAGAAAGCGCATTCAAGTTTTAACCTAGGAAATCACTTATAATTATAATCCATTTAATAGATTATAAACCTACCATCTTATCAAGCAAGCGGAGAAAATCCCAGTATTATTAAGTTTCAATTAACTCAAGATAGCGCATCTAATATGAATATAATCCATCATAATGGGAGCCACCCAAAACGCCATTAAAAAATAAAGTTATTAAAATCCATCTTCCACCGTCGGAGAAAGACGGTTGACTGAGTTCTAATTCGTTCAAACGTTCCATTTATACACGGATAGAGCATTAGCGCGACCAATCGAGTTGTGTTCCGATTTCGAAATTTGAAAATCGAATTATTTGATTGTTTTGAGGTGCGTTATCGCTTCTCAAGTTGTTAAGTACTTATGAGGCTTTTAGGAATTGAAACGTGTAGCTGAATTCAAACTTCGAATTTGAATGTTCTATAGACAATAAATGGATTTTATTATTGTGCTTTAGGTACCTACTTATTTGGGTGATAGATAAAATATAAAGTACTGTAGTTTATGGTTTCAGCACAATTTATGGTTAGTAGGAAAATATTCACACGTTTCAATATTTAATCTAATTACTAAAACTACTCTAGTAAAGGTCAAAGTATCTGAAAGATACAATACCTAGGCTATGTTAATACATTGATATGTTAATACACTATGTTAATACACTCTGTTAATACACTCCCTAGGAATAGGTTATCAATATAGGAATGCCATTAAATATTTAATAAGTATGTATTCAGGCCTGTAATTGAATTTAAGAGGCATAATGGTAATTTATTGGGAACTACAGTTCATTCAATGGACATTCTATTTGATTGATTATAATAAGAGATTTTTGGAATTATATTAAAAGATAATACACTACTGATTAGCAAAAAAAAATAATAATATGCTGCGTATTTTTGTATATATGTGGACAATACGCAGAAAAAATACGCAGACGTTAATATTTTAGGAATCAGTTTTTTCTTCGATTTTTCTTTGTGAGACATTCTAAACAACACCTAAATTTTCTTAAACATATTTTTTGATGTACAGTTGGCACAAAGACAGAGTTTACTGTCTAAAACATTTTCTATTGGACTTTTAACGACAAAAAAGAAATAGGTACCTACATTTGAATACAATAAATTGAATATTATGTCTACAAATACAAACATATATTAGTAGAGACTTGAATCAAATCTATTTAAAAAGAATGGTTGAGACAGGTCGAGGCTTAAGGACATTTTGTAATTAACTAGCTGGTACCTGCGACTTCGTTCATGTGTAATTTGAAAAGCGCTGTCTTAGTGGGTTCTATTCCCGGACCGGCAAAATTTTATAGGGTTTTCTGAGACGGAAAATAGCCTTAGTTACTCCTTATATAGACAGCTACCTGATAGTAAAATATTATCAAAATCGGTCCAGCCGTTTAGAAGAGAAGACAAACAGACAGATTAAAAAACTGTTTTTTAGGCATAGGTATCGTGCAAATAACCGTGTGTGAGCATGAAAAAACCTATAATTTTGACATAACAAACAATAAACAATTTTCTTTCTTTCTTATTAATTAATATACGTATCATGTGGTACTCCTTACCTGTACTCTAGACTCCGGTAGATTTATCTTCAAGGCGACTTCTTCCCTCATGAAGATATCAGGATATCTGGTCTTGCCGAATAATGCTTCTAGAACATCTAGTTGGGCACGTGTGAATGTCGTGCGCTCGCGGCGCTGTTTTCGAGGATTTACGCCTGTAGACAAGAGATAAACATAAATTTAGTAATAATAATAGTTATTATATTATTATAATGATATAATATTTCAATTCCAAGAAAACTCATATATTATTCGTGCGAGCAGCGATTTCAATAAATTGTGCAAAGAGCATTTAATAGCAAAAGCAATAATGTGCTAAACCTTATTTTTTCCAATCAAAACTTTTTTGTAATTGTAGAATCAGAATCAAATCAAATTAATTTATTTGCTTTGAATGTTAATTATGATTAACTATGAATATGGTACAAAGTTCTTAAAAAATACAATCAGGAATACTCAGCATACTCTGCCAGAAGTGGCGTACAAACTAAAGTTAAAACAAGAAGAAAAAGTGTTAATACAGGCAGTTTAATGAACAGGAGAAATCTATGGTTAGAGACTGTCTGTTTAAATAAATGTTAACATTATGATAACATTTTTTGGATATTAGTTTTTTTTAGTTTCTTCTTTTAATTTTTTATATTTAATTTTCTATAAACATCCGAGTAGCGTGCATCTATAGCGTAGCATCTATATAGAGCAGAGTAGCGTGGTTTTCAATTGCTAGCCGTGATAACTTGTAATTGGCTGTCTTGTATTCATATCATTTATTCTTGTTTTATATAACTGTTAGTTGCCCAAAATAAAAAAAATTAGAAGCCCCTAATACCGGGGTAGCATTGCTAAATTTGCTTATTAGTAACTTTTGAAATTTGCATGGACCAAATGTTGATATGATCTCCAAGTATTTGTGTCGGAGTTCGGGTATTTTCTATGTAATATGTATGTATTTACAAAAAAAAAAATAAGTAATCGATCAGTCAATCTAGCTTTCAAAGTCAAGCTCTACTTAGTTTGAAACTAGATGGCGTTGTGTGTCATATGTCCGAAAATATTATTCTTATAACCACCTATGTTGAACATTTGATTCTGGTGATTCTTCACAATAACAACTGCAGACCAAGAGGTCCTGGGTTAATGATTGCACGGATGGTGTAGTGGTTTAAGTAGTCACCTCGCAGCTTCCTACTGCGCTTAGTGCTGTGTGTTCAATCCCCACATGGGACAACACTTTGTGTGATCCAAAAATTGTTGTCGAACAAAGTCGAGGCGTTCATTGTGTCCGTTTCATAAATGTTTGAAAAGTCGCCCGCGACACATGAAATATATGCCTAATACAGGAGTTGGCTTATAAAAAAAATTGGTGCTTCAGCAATCTGGTTTTAATTCGAGGAGAAATCAGATGTGGTTTCATTAGTTTCAGATGCATTACATACTAACACCCTAAATAATAAATGGCTTGGGACGGGCCTGTACCATATATCGAATAAGTCTGCAGAAGTAACCTTAGGTATATCAATTTGCACAGCCCGAGCATCTAACCCACAGAGCCGCTGGTTCGCTCACAACATTACCACAATTTAACTAACGAGTTAAGAGGTAATACAATCAACGAGTCTGTGTGGTAACGGCTTAAGAATAAGGATTGTCACCACCCCCAATCATCCCATGGGCGTCGTAGGAGCCGACAAAGGGACAACAATACTGCAAAGAGAAGGAAAACTTGACACAAACCCTATACCAACCCGTCTGGCTAGCGTGGCATAGTAGGCCTAAACCTTCTTTCTAAGGAGAGGCCCATGTCCAGCAGTTGACTGTTAAAGGCTGATAGAATCAACTGAATATTATTACGCCAGATAATTTATATTTATTATACAAAATAGAAGTACTTATATGCAGTGAGGTGTAAATATTCTCATCATTAAACTCTGTTGAATGATTGCCAAGTGTCAACTGACTCTCAGCTAAATACCATTACTATGATAATTTTAAACCAGTTTCCTTGCGGAAGATGAACGCTTAGAATTTCTGATGTAGGTACCCTTTGATATACGTAGCTTCGACGCTGTCAAGTTTAGGCTATTTCGATTTAAAGTCAATGCGAATTTCTTTTTATGATATAAGGGAGCAAAAAAGCAGTCAAGTCACCTGATGGTAACTGTGAACTGAAGGCCAATTCTCATAATACAAGTTCGGTCACAATATTCATGTCGGAACTTTTCGAATACAAAAAACAAAAAAAAACTAGTTTTCACTTTTGTCGGCACTCCCGGAGTGCCACAGTTCTTTTGTGATGAAACAAGGGTAACTCATATCTCATAAGTCATAAGCACGATGTCGCCCTATGACTCTTTCCTCCTAGAGTCAGAGGAAGAGGTTTAGCCGTTAACCTTACTCACTCAGTGAAAAGCAACGAAAGTATGTGATGTCACAATAGGAATTCTCACAAATATAACCAGGTGTGGGTGTCAAAAATCCATGAAATTCATGAGACGTAGTTTATGGACGGCCCCTAATTGCACCCGCAGATTGCAAGAAAGAGACAGGACATTTGTAACACATCAATTTTGATACCTTTAATGTTGACAGTCCATTTAGTGCTGAAAGCAATTCCAGTTAAACTAAAGATATTAAACTATCTCGACTTTCATAGCAAACCTTTACGATATATTTTATGATACGTAATATACTTAATTTTATTTCTCAGAAAGTCTTCTATCTTATGTGGTGTAACTTATGCAACAAAACAAATTATTTATACGACATTTTATATTCCAAACGATAGCAATAAAATATCATAAAATCTAAACCTATTTGTATTCAAGATCGGCTACTAGTGATGGGACCACATAATACGAGTATTTTTATTAATATATGCTACTGGTGAGATTGAAGAACGTGTCACATGTATAATTACTAATAAAAATAAAGTAAAAACCAGATTATAGTGATGTTTTTATTCGGTGTAATTTGGATTTGCATGTTTTGGTGATAAATTTTAATATTGACGTTTCAATCATTCTAAATGGGGGAAATGTGGTGAATTCTTTTTGCATATACTGTAAATTTATTTAATTCGAAATGTTAACCACATATAATACGATCATATTTAAAAAATATACATATGAAATATACAATACATTTCATAAATACATTTTTTTTTGTAAGAGTGATGGAAAGTCACGACTGCCGCCCATGAACGTCTGCAACTCAGGAGTCACAACCGAGTTGCCGGCCTTACATATATCACAATATGTCTTACGTTACAACAACTGCACTGGAACAGATTTTTTGGAAATGTTTTTATAAGGTTCTAGCCTGTTCTAGCTAAGTGTGGCTAATGCAGATAGCAAGATTTTGGATAATGTTTTACATATTATAGTGCCATGTGTATGGACCGAGGATATTAGGTATAGTGTAATGTTAAATGAAAGCCATTTTAAAAGAAGTTACGCGATCATATCCTCTTTTTACACTCGAATAGATTTTAAAAGAAGACCAACTCTACAGTAGATTTGTATAATATACATATACGTATACGTATACATCTGTATACATATACGTATACGTATACGTCTGAATGTATACGTATACATTGAGACCTATAGGTCTGAATGTATACGTATTATATTTGTATACGTATTCGTGAAGGCGTAGGCAGAGACTTATTATACACCCACATTTTGCAAACTAAAATTTACCTGTCAATTTTAAGTTAGCAGCAAGTCTATTTCCGTCAAACACTTTAATATTAGAGATCGGAAAATTACGTATTTATAAGAAGCAAAAGGTTATTAGAAAACATTGATATTACCTACTAATATTATTGGTGAATTGAGAAGGTCAAGGTCACATAGAGATAGCTCGAACTTGTTTTTACCAATATCGAGAGCTCGTTGGAGAAAAGTAATATTGGTAACAATTTAAATTTTAGGTTTTAATTTAAAAAAATATGTTTCTACTAATCCTATGGACTATGTCTGAAATAAACTATTTGAATTGAACTGAATTAATACTGGTTAAACGTAGTTCTAATCGACGTAAGTAGTGTGCAATGGGAGAGGCCTATGTCCAGCAGTGGACTGCGATAGGCTGATGATAATGAAACGTAGTTCTGATTAGCTTGTGTTGTTTTTTTTTATTAATTAATTAATTTATGGATCTGGTTGTGGGTTTGTAAACAGGAACGAAAATGTGATACAGAAAGAAGCGTGCGTTATTCGGTTTGACTAATGAGCAGTGCTACTTCATAAATGTAACTGCAGTAAGACTAGTTTTTTTTTACTTAACAGTAATTTACAAATTCTAATAAGAATTCAGATTAATGAAAGTAGCTTTTTAGGAATAAGTACCAAAGGCTCGATTGACAAAATCTTGATCATAACTCCGAAGTTCAAGCGTTACAATGTTACCCAATCAAAAAATAATATTTTTTCTATACTAATGAATATAAGTACTCAAATAAATAACCTGATACCGAACTGAGTAACTTATTAATATTAGGTGGTATACGGTTCGTCTAGTTAATTAATTTACAACTGAAGAAAAAAACATAATTTACTTAAGATAAATCGATATCGATAATTGCTCTTCGATATTCGAGTCACATCATTATTAACCGGTTTCCTCTATGGTTATGAATAAAAATGGCGTTAATTGTCTAGCTCATCATATTATGGTAATCGGAACCGGCTCCCGAATACTTTCTTTGATGTTTTTGAATCAATCTGTGTCTATGGTAAACTCTTTATGGTGTGAAATTAAAATGTTATGGTTATTTGGCTAATGTTTATAATTATTATAATAAAGATAATATAAACTTTAAAGTTTCTTTGGATAATTGTATTTGACTTGTTCCTTCAGTGTTTTTTTGTGATTTTGAACACGCATTACTAACTCTGGTTCTATTAATTAGAGTTCAAAATTTTCTAGTGGTTGAGTATTGATCATAATTTGTATTTTTTCCAGTTACACCTATTTATATCCAGTATCCAAACTAAATCCAGACAATTTTACAACAACAATGCAATAGAACAAAACGGCTTAGAATATCTAGACAGTTCACTGCTAACCACGATAGAAAAACTGGACACATAAAATTCACATAAATACTTTCTATATCTAGTTTGAGTCTAGTCTAGACGTCGCTGTGACA